ATGTGCTTAGCTGCCATTTGTTTATCTTCTTGGGGAAATGTCTATTCAGAACATTTGTCCATTTAAAAAAAAAAAATAGACAAATATATTAATCGCTTTACTACTAAGTGGTAAGAGTTCTTTCTTTATTCTAGAGACAAGTCTCTTATCAGATGTATGACTTGCAAATATTTTTTCCTGTTCTCTGAGTTATCCTGTCACTTTCTTGATGTTCTTGTTTGCAGCACAAAGGTTTTTATCTTGATAAAGTCAGATTTATTTTTTCTTTTATTGCTTGTGCTTTTTGTGTCACAGCCAAAAAGGCTTTGTCTAACTGAAGGTTATAAAAGTTTATTCCTATTTTTTCCTCTAAGAGCTTTACAGTTTTAGACCTTACATTTAGTTTATGATCCATTTTGAGTTAATTTTTGTGTATGGTGTGAGGAAGGGGTTCAATTTAACTGCTTTACATGTAGATATTCATTTGTCTCAGCACCATTTGTTGAAAAGACAAACTGTACTTCACTTTTGATGTACATACAGTGAAACTCGTAAAAGCTGGAACTCAACAGGAGTGTTTTGTTTTTTGGGGGTCACATAAATTTTCTTCCTTTGACAGGGAAGTCTTACCACTTTTCTATTGCTATTAGTGGAAAATATTTGATATTTCCCTCTCTGAAAGATTTCTGCCTTCTACAAGTTCTGGCTTTAATAGCTTTTACTTTAACTAGTTAATCATCTGGCTCCCAATTATACTGAAAGGACCAAAAGGGCAGAAACTGTGCCTACCTTGTTCACTACTATATTTCCAGCACCTAGCATGACGCCTCCTAATAGCACTCATAAATAATAGTTGAATGAATTAATAATTTTGTTAATATTAACTGTACAGCTCTATAGGCTATAGATATTATCATCTCCATATTTTTAGGCTCAAAGAAGTTAGGCAACTTATTTTACCAGTTCTCAATTTTTGACTCATGCCTTTCCCACTCACCTGAGGGAGGGAGGTGGTAAAATTCCTCCAGGGGAAGGAAGGGACTGCTTCTCCTTCCTCATTGTGTTGCCTCCATCCCTTCCCCACATTCAGCTTTGGGCAGACATAGGGTACAGGCTGGACAGATGGGTGACAATCAAGGCCCTCCATGACCAGGCCTTGATCTATCTCTAGACCATTTCAGCTTCAGACTGAGATCTGACAACACCTAACAATAAGATGTACAACTCCATCCTCCCCACCATACACACCAGGATGTTCTTTGCTGAGTGCCACCTTAGTGGCTGTCTAAGAGGCTGTCTCCTCTACCTGCTATGTATCCTGCTTCTCTTCATTAGGTCCTACTGATGTTTTAAGACTCTGTTCAGGTGCCATCTCCACTAGGAAGCTGGACAGGGACATCTGAGCACCTAAAGTCTTTGTACTCTCTTGCTCACAGCACTAATCATACCATGTTGTCAGAGTCAGCCCTAGATTCCTTTATTTTCTAGGGCAGGAACCATGCTGGTCAGATATTCCCTATGCCAAGCACAGGCCCTGACATATGGTAAACCTGTTGCTGTTGATTCTGACTCACAGTGACCTTACGGGACAGAATACAACTGCACCATAGGGTTACCACGGCTGTAATCTTTATGTAGGCAGACTACCACATCTTTCTCCCACAGAGCAGCTGGTGAGTTCAACTGCTGATCTTTCAGTTAGTAGCCAAGCACTTAAACCACTGTGCCACCAAGACTCCTTAGCATATGGCCAGTGCTTAGTAACTGGTTTGTAAAATGAACAAATGAATCTTGAAGAGAAAGAGCAGGCAGTCTGAAGCATAAGATTCACCCCATCAGGCTTCCTTCACTAGAGAATGTTTTAGGTGATAAACAGCCAAGTTAAGCACTCAGCAGAGGCCTAGTTCTCTGCTGGCAGAAGGGAAATGGGCAGGGGTGTTGCCTTTCACCCAGGTTTGTTCTGAAGGAAACGTGAGCTCTAATGGGAGAACAGGAGGCCTCACTTCTCTCAGGCTTGAGTGCTCCTCTCAAGTCTCAGTTGAGCCTGGACAGATGTGCTTTCAGTCTGCCCTGTGCCCTGGGTTTCGGGTGAATGGTTCCTGAGTTCAGAAGCCAGGTCTAGGTTTGGGCTGAGCTCAGGAGCAGGGCCACCTGCTCATACTGCTGACAAGTAGGACAGAGGCTCTAGAACCTGAAGAGCCAGAGCTCAATGTGCTTACAAGGTGCTCTGGGGGATAGGAAGGGAGAAGATGATTACATGGGGGAAAAGGCGGAGGCAAAGGAAGAAAGAAGGGACCCACCCTTCCTCTGATACAGTCTTTGGGAATATAGAAATAAGACTCAGGAATACTTGCTTCAGGTTTGCTGAAAAGTCAGTAAAAGGCCAACTTTCCAAATTCCCTGCCTTCTGGGGGATAGGGTAAGAGAGCGTGGGAACTAGGCTTGCTCCTGACCTTAGGAAAGCTCACAATTCAGTGGTTTAAGGTGAAGTCAGGCTCAGAAACGTCTTAATATAAAGAACTGAGGGTGGTGCAGGGTAGATACTGCTCTGCCCCATTAGCCAGGCAGGCCCAACCCACACAGTTAGCTAGCCCCACATGAAGCAGGCCAACAGTGTTCACACACATCTGGGCTGTTGCCCTGGGCTGAATTAATCATTTCATATACCATGAAGATTCCTGATCTTTCCCCATGAAGGTCAGCGTCTAAACCTGACAGGTTTTCCTGTTACTGGACTGAATGCCTTCACAGTCCTCATGTTCAGCCCTGCTCTCTCAGCTTCTCTTTCAGAAGAGAATTCCTCTCCTATTATGGCTTGGTCCTTCCTAGATGACCCTCACACCCTTCCAGACCAGTAAAACCATGGTTTGGGACAAAGGAAGAGAGATTGCACCCAAATGGGAGGAGTTAAGGGAGGCTTCACAATGGACGCAACATTGAGGTGAGCCCCAAAGGCTGGTAGCTTGCAAGCACAGGGTGATCAGAACCAAGTACAGATGGCAGCAGTCTGTGTGGAAAGCCTGTGTCCACTGCCCTTCCCTAGAGCTCCCCCAAGGCTCTGGGGATGGGGGTTGGGGTATCAAGGCAGAGACACACAGAACACAGGGCCCCAGAGAGAGCAAGAGTGAAAGAAGAGGATAGAATAGCATTATTTACCAGATCTCAGCTTTGTTCCAAATCTGATATCATTAACCAGCATTTAGTGACTGGGGAATACTCATATGCAAGGTCCCTATGGACACTATGCACATGGGCAAGAGTGGATATATTCAGAACAACTCCGAATGACACAGATTAAGTTCAATTACCTTCTGCAGTTTTGGGCAGGTGTTTAACTTCTAGTAGAAAAACATGTATTTGAAAGTGCTAAAATAATCAGCACTTGGGGGCTTCGTGGAATAGGGTAAACTCAGCCTCCCTCAAGCTACAAAAGGTGGATCCTCAGCCTTGTTGCTCTCCTAATGCCCCACCTACAAAGGTCAGTCAGGGGAAAGCAGCAGTCCAGCAGCCTTTGGCAGTTACCAATAGGGGATGCCAGGTCCAGCAAGGACCTGCACGGAGGGGCACAGTCCATTCTCCTGCAGTGCAGCAGACTGAAGCAAGGCTCATCTTTTGCTGGGGGACTGAAGATGCCACACATAGCCTGCAGTTATGAATGGCTCTTATAACAACAAGCTGACATCTGTGCTTGGTTTCTAAGATGCATCATCGCATGTTTATTAAACTATTGCTCCATCATATTTATTTGGCTACGAAAGAACTCCCAGCCCATACTTTCAAAAGTGGTTTATTAAAAACTAAGCCTTGAACATTAATACTCAAAAGCACCCTTGAGAATCAATAATAATGCTGCAGATAAAATGAAAGGGAATCAAAGCAGTAAGTCTTGGTGGGGGCTGTGGCTGCCTTTCAATGCCCTCTTGTATGTTCAGGCAGCTACTGGGGAAGAGCATTGAGGGTCTGGGGCATTAATGCAGGGAAACAAACAAACAAAAAAATCAAACTCACTGCCATCGAGTCATTTCCAACTCACAGCAACCCCCATTGGGTTTCCGAGGCTGTAAATCTTTACAGAAGTAGATCTCCCCATCTTCCTTCCATGGAGCAGCTGGTGGGTTTGAACCACTGACCTTTCAATTAACAGTCAAGTGCCTCCTCCACTAAGCCACCAGAGCTCCTATAGTGTAAGGAAAGCCACCCCAAACACCTGACTTCCTGCCTAAGACACAGGTATGGTAGCATGCTCTATATATGTGTATGTATTTATGTGTGTACATGTGTGTGTGTGTGTGTATTCTACAGTCACTTAGCTCCAAAGGGCTAACAAGGCCAAGGTTAGTTCAGCAGGGTCACGAGTTTCACCCAGAGTAAAACCTCTGCCCCTAACCAATGGTTAGACTCCGTGGTGGCCCATCTGAGGCACTAGGTTGAGTCCTGAGTTGAATCCTGCCCGTGCCTAAGAACAAACTCAAGTCTAATCTGTCAGTGGTCAGAAGGGGGCTGGCTAAGGCAAGGAGGCTGGAGAAACACAGCTTGTGCCTGGGCAGGGCTCCAGCATGTATACCCCAACCCTGCAGGCAGGACTTTTTAGCCCCGTAAGACTTTATGGCATAAAGGCCTCTTCCAGCTCCCTCCTAAATTCCCAAGCTCCTCCATGGGAAGCCACCTTCACCTCTGTGCAAGCAGCAACCAGTAACATATGGCCAATTCCACAGAGAAACAAGGACAAACTGAAAGATCCACAGGATGTGGAGGGAACTCCAAACCATACTCTGTGAAGAACAAAACAGCTGAAGGACCAAGGGATGTTTGGGACTAGAAAAAAAGGAGGAACAAGGGACTAACTTCCTACTTTAAACTATGTAAGAGTTACCTGGGCCGAGGGAGCTAACATGCTTGGTCAAAGGGGGCAGTTCCTAACTTAGTCTGAAGAAGGAGTTCATCCAAGCAGTCATCACACGAGGAAAGGGTTCACCCTCTCACCCCTCACGTGAGGGAGAGCAAGGCCTAAGAACACTCACCTTCTGACTTCTTGGACATTGTTGGCACGAGCAGCTTCCACCAGGGCCGCATCTAAGGAGAGAGGGGCACTGGTCAGATCCCTGGCTAGGACCTACTCCTCAGGACTGCTTGTTGAGACAATGAAAGGGACGGCACTTCCAAATGTGGGTTTCAGCAAGTGAAATAATGCCAAGATATATAAAGAAAAAGCTAATTACTCCCTCCCCACATGGTATACTCTGGTAACAACTTGTCCTTCCACACCTTTCTATTTATAGAGCCCAAACTTCTAACAACTCCTCATCATACAAAATGATACAGGTGAAGTACTAGCAACATGTCTTGCCATGGTAAGCATTCAGTGTATGAATTATCTTTCTTCTTAAGTTATAAAGCACTATACGAGTATCATATATTTCATGTTACTGTCATTATTAATAACCATTCCCCTACATTACTCAGCCCAGTTGTCCATCTTGATATCACAGAGGTACTAGGTGAGAGCCCACAGGGGTGTGATCCCTCTGAAAGTGGAGAGAAACTTGACTAAGAGCCAGGAGACCTGGTTCCAATTCCTCTGCCACCTACTAACTGCGTGACTATGGCAGCCCTTCTCTTTCAACCCTGGCTTCCTTGGCTATAGAGACAACAATCCTTGCTTTGCTAGCTTCACTAGGCTGCCATGGAGATGAAATCATGGCTGAAAAAAATTTTCAAACTCCCTGGTGCCAAGCCCAAGTGAAGGGAGACCTAGAGTGGAGTGTTCCAATCCCTTAGGAATCAATCCCCAGGACTAACAGAAAAGCAATGCTAAGCCTGGCCTGGCTGGCTGTGGGCTGTTGTCACCACCTTGTGGTTACAAAGAAAAACTGCCTGACTCAAGAAGAAAAACTAACAGCAAAGGCACAACTTTTTCAAACAGTCCAATACCAAGTATCCATGGAGCTCTCTGTGCCAAGCCTGGTTGTGAAGTATCCTGATGAGCACTGTAACAGACTCTTATCTAGCCCTGCTTCCAGGAGTCCCTCAGTCCTGCTAAGGGTATCACCCAGTGAATCACAAGAGCCAGCAGTAGAACACAGTGGAAAAAGTAGGACCTGGAGGCAGACAGACCTGGGCTCCTGGCCCAGCTCTGCCACTTACGTGCATGACCTGTCAACTCACCTATCCTCTCTGAAACTATTTCCTCATCTGTACAATAGGGATAAGATAACCACCTACCTTATCATGCATATGAAAGTCAGTTCTGTGATTCAGAAACTGGTGCCTCATCCCACATCCTGGCCTAGATTCCAGAGCCAGGCCTTTCCTGGTTACCTTCCCACATTATTCACAAGTACAAACCCAAGCATTCTGGGGCAGCCCCCAGCTGGAAGGGGTGTAAGTCTTCCTCAGAGATCACTATATCCTCCCCTCTCACAGTACAGAAAGCAGTAGCTTCTGCAAGGTCAGTGCTGAATGGGCTGAAAATTAAAACCTAAAAATACAATTTCTACTACAAAGCACTGAGGGTCTCGGCTCCTAACGCCAAGTCAGAAGACAGGGTAGCTGGCAAGTCAGCTACTATCTCAGGGGCTCCCATCTCAGGTCCCAAGGATGGAACTAGTTGTAATCATTATTTTGGTAAACAGACCCTGGTCTCCTTGCTGGGGTTCACACGACACCACCTCATGTCACAAAGTCCTGTCTGGGGCCCCCAGGAGCCTCTAACGCAAGATCTTAGGTTCTATGGAAGTCATGCTCCCCACTGCCCCAGTGACCCTCAGCCCCAACCTGCCCTAGACCTGCAGGCCAGTGGTTCTCAATTCTGACTGCACATTAGAATCACCTATGATGTTCTAAAAACATGTTCATGCTAAGGCCCTACCTAGATCAATTAAATCTGAATCTCTGGGGGTTAGACCAAAGCCATCAGTATTGTTTTAAAAGCTATCTAAGTGATTCCAAACAACATTAAGAAGCACTGGTCTGACCCAAGCCAAATAATACAAGAGGGGAAGGACATTCTCCCTTTGCAAAGCCAGGCCTTTCAGGACCATATCCCCATGTCATCTTTTGCCAGCACTGTCATAGTCTCTTCAGGTTCAATCTCTCTATGGCCCCTTAATTTCCCCTCATTTCAACCAAACACACTGGCTTCAGGACATTTTTTGCTTATGAACTTTCCATGGGTCTCCACTGCCTACAGGAGAAATTCCAAACTTTCCAACTCTTGTACCTGGCATCCAGGCCCCACTCCATCTGCTCTCACCATATTACAAAGATCTCCTGTCCTCCTACCAAGCTAGCCACTCTGCTAGCCCCCACACACACCATGCTGACCTGAGACTCTCATATCATCATTCCTGAAGCCTTTGACTAGAATATAATCCAACTCAAGATACATTTACTGACTATCTACTAAATTCCAGACACTATTGTGAATGATGTATTGGGAAGGTAGCTGGTACCAATCTGGGAAAAAAGATACATTCCCTGCTCTCACTGGGACTCACAATGTCCTCTTTACTTCTCTCCTTTTCAGCTCTTGCCTTATCCTTCTGGACTCAAGTTAAAATTCCCTATCTCCCAGAAGTTTTCAATCCTCCAGGAAAGCTTTCCTAACCCTGCTAGTTTTCTGATTCCCCAACAACACATAACAGCACTCACCAGATTTGCAGTCCTAACTGCCCTGCACTGCCCCCTCTCAATTGATTTTATGTTAAATTAGGAGTTACCAAAATAACAAACCCCAAACTAGGCACAAAGTATTTTTTTTTTAATGGTGAAAATTATAGAATCATAGTGTGCTTAAGTTATAACAGTCTCCATCAAGTCTCTAGCTCAACACCCTCATCTTTAAGATGAGGAACCTGAGAGCCAAAGAGGAGGAGCAACAATACAATCACAATGAGTGTTAAGAGGCAAAAACAAAACAAAATCCCAGGTGTCCTGACTCCTAGCCAAAAGTTCTTCCTTTACAACCAGCCACATCCTGCTGAATAAACAAATGAATGTCAAGCAGTCCCCACTGTATGAACTCTATGAACACTAGGCCTCAGTCTTTCCCTGTAAGGAAAAACTGAGAACTTGAGTGTTGATTTTATCTAGCCCAGAAATCTGGCTCTCTGCCCATTCTCATGTATGCAGCTGAGATGCAAATCTGGTTCATCCAGCCCCATGGTTGGTGGCTTTAGATCTCTATACCTTCTCCTACCAACTGCCCCACATGGCAAGATCCTGAGACCAGCCACAGCAAAACCCTGGGGACAGCTGAAAAGTACTGTAAGAGTAATGGAAAATTATCCTTCACTGTCTAAGTGGGGAAACTGAGGCCAAAGAGGCTCAAAGAGGCCCTAGTGAGCAGTGGCAAAGCAAACATTGAAACTAAGACTCTTCCTTTCTTAGGCCATGTTAGGCTTAAGAACTTTTAACTAAACCACCTGGTGGCTGTTTTTAAAGCATTTAGTGGTTTCCTATTACCTCTTACAGGAAGAACTGAACCAGGGAGAATACTAGAGCATAAAAAAACTATGCTCTTATACAACATGTTTTGGGAGCTCTGGTAGCATAGTGGCTAAAGCACTTGACTGCTAACCAGAAGGCTGGAGGTTCAAACCCACCAGGCACTCCTCGTAAGGAAGGTTGGGCAATCCTACTTCCGTAGTGATACTGCCTCGGAAACCCAAGGAGGGGTCGCTATGAGTCGGGGCCGACTCGACGGCACATAACAACAACAACATACAACATGTTTTAGTTCAACGCCTCCATTATACAGATGGACAAAAATACCACCAAAGATGGGTAGCTGATCCATCGGAGACTATACAACTCTAAGGCAATGAGCTCTCCACTGCCATGCCCTACCCCTGTGATAAGATCTGGGTCCCTCCAGGGCTGAGGCTTTCCAGGTTTAAGTCTGTAAGCATCTAGCATTCTCCAAGGATGTGGAGTCAGGATATTCCTCCCACCTCTACCTTCCTTGAACCCAGTCCCGATAATCACCCTTGTTGGACGGGTTCTTGCTGTAGCAATGAACCACCAGCGCCGTGGCCAGGGCCCACATGCCCAGTCCAGCTCTGCTGGGGACCCCGTTCCAGCCATCTCGTCCAGGGAGTGTTTCTTCAGGGATGGGAAGGCGTCCCCACGTGGTGGCCGCAAAGCAGTGGGTCTCCGCACGTCCTCCCTGGCGCCCCCCGGCGGCTGCCCCTCGTCCCGCGAGCAAGGCCGACGTTGTCCCAGGGCGCCCCCCGGCGGCTGCCCTCAGCCATTGCGGCTCCCCGCGGCCCCCGGTGGTTACGCTCCGACCGGTTGCGCCCCCATGGCTCCGGAGCGATGGAGACTTAAGCAGTCGGATGAGGAGCCGCGGTACTAGGGCTGTTCTCAACGCCAGTGACCCCAGCATCGTGACAGCTGCTTCTTCTATAACCCCCTGGTGCCGGCCCCTGTGCTAGCCACGTCCAACATGGCTGCCGCAGCGCGTTCGAACACGCCGCGAACGGGGTGAATCGCGCACTACCTCACGGGAGTGGTAGTCCGCAGCCTTAGAACTTTCCGCAGCTGAAGAACAAAGAAACCGTATTTCCCAGAAGGCTGTGAAACTAATGTCACAATGACTGTCTACTTACAGGAGCCCAGGGCATGTTGGGAAGTGAAGTTCGGGCTGGAATGTGTGGGCGGGACAGAAAGGGAAATACAGGGGAGGGGCGTGGCTGTTGGTTACGCTCTGGTCCGAGGTACTTAGTTGTATCCCCGAGCAGCTATTCCTGTTTAATTAGAACACACGTGGCGCAATTTCTGCCCAGGGCATATTAAGCAGGGAGCTTTAGTAGAGACCTACTGTGAAGCTTACACTTAACTTTCTCTTCCACTATTTCTCTTTTCAGCCTGATAGAGCTTTTCAAAAAGGAGGCGCATCTGATGTAGAAATTCCTTTTATTGCCCTACACAGACCTCTAATTCTAGGGGATGTCTCAAGAAACATAAAAGTTTATGTTCATACAAAGACTTGTACACGAATGTTCATACCAGATTTATTAGAAAGAACCCAAATGCCTATCAACACATGAATGAATGAAAAAATTGTGGTATATCCCTACTAAAAAAAAAAAGGCTGTTGCCGTCAAGTTGATTCCAACTCATGGCAACTCCATGTGCTATGGAGGAGAACTGCTCCAAACGGTTTTCTTGGCTGTATTTATTATTATTATTAGTTAAATTTTATTGTGGTGAAAATATCCACCATCAGACATTTGCCAACATAATGGCTGTATTCTTTACGGAAGCAGATCACCAAGCCTGCCTTCCACGGTGCTGCTGCTGGATTCAAACCACCAACTAAACTATTTGCACCGCCCAGGGACCTGTTGTTGTTGTTGTTAAGTGCCATCGAGTGGTCTCTGACTCATAATGACCCTATGCACAGCAGAACGAAACACCGCCTAGTCCTGAGCCAGCTCCACGATTCTTGCTACACTTGAGCCTATCCCCGCCACCGTATCAATCCACCTCCTTGAGGGCCTTCCCCTCTTTCACCGACCCTCCACCTTACCAAGCATGACATCCTTCTCCAGGGAATGGTCCCTTCTGTCAACATGATCAAAGTATGTGAGACGATGTCTGGCCATTCTCCCAGGGACCTATATAGCCATAAACCAAAGCCAAACCAAACTCACTGACATCCAGTCAATTCCAACTCATAGCGGCCCCTATCGGGTTCCCAAGGCAGTAAATCTTTACAGAAGCTGGTTGCCCCATCTTCCTTCTGTAGAGCAGCTGGTGGGTTTGAACCACCAGCCTTTTGGTTAGCAATCAAATGCCTTAGGCATTGTGCTACCAGAGCTCCTTATACTGCTCAGCAATGAAAAGGAATGAACTATTGATACTTATAATGACATGGATGAATCTCAAAGTAATTATGCTAAGTGAAAGAAGCTAAATATTTTTTCAAAAAAAAAGTTGTGTATTGTATTGTTACATTTATATAAAATTTGGGAAAATAAAAATGAATCTATAGTAACACAAAGCAGACCATGGCTTCCTGGGGATTCAAGGTCAGGGAGCATACTGGGAGGGAGGGATTACAAAGGGATACAAGGAAAGTTTTGGGGTGATGGATCTATTCGTTATCTTGATTGTGGTGATGGTTTCACAGAGATACATATGTCAATTTAAACATGTGCAACTGGTTGCATGCCTTATATATAATTATATATTAATTATATGTCGTTAAAGCTGTTTTTAAAAACGGTGACAAGCTATTTCTGGGCAGTAAATTACTAAATATGGTCTTTCTAGCCATGGTCTTTGTGATTCCCACCAGATGACTTGGTAGGACTATGTGAACTCAAAGTGCTTGTGGCCCACCAAGCGGATTGGATAGCTTGCTAATAATGTAAATAAGGTATCTTTATGGGGTTGGGACAATGCAAATAAGGTGTACAATACCTTAATGTGGAAATTGGTCATCTCGCTATGCTTAAAATGAACCATCCCAGTGATGGAAAGTGAGGATCTCACTACCATCAAGAAAGAAGAGCCAGGAGTGGAGCATATCCATTGGACCTAAGATCCCTTCCCTGAACTTCCTCAATCCAGGAGACAGAGAGCTGCGACAACAGAGACAGAAAAAGTGACAGAGATAGGGCAGCAGCAGAGGCAGCAGAACCAAGAGACCAGCATGAGACAGAGCAATGGGCTAGCCAGCCCATGGAGCAAAAAAGCTGAGTGATTTTGGGCAGGAATTTTGCTGGCAAAGTGGGATGCCTCTCTAGGCACCTATCAGCAGAGCAAAAGAGTTTTGTAACACATGCCTGCATAGGACAGGGGCCAAGGGGCTGCAGAGCTGAGAGGCTGAGGCCACAGAAAAGCATGACAGCAACACAGCTGAGAAGAGGTTTTTCTGATAGAAGAACTTTATCCTAAGTCATTTCTGATCCTGAATTGTAACCTGTTACTTCCATAATAAACCCCATAATTGTATTGTCTGTGAGTTCTGTATGGCCATTTACAATGAATTATCAAACCCAGCAGAGAAGTAGAGAGTGCCATGGGAGGGATGGCTGGTGTCAGAATTGGTAGAAAGATTGGATGGTGATGGCATGTTCTGACCTCCACCTCATAGGAATCAGCCTTGGACCATTGTTGTTGATATTAATCCTTCTCCTCCCCTTACAAAGTTAGAGAAGATCAGACACCAACCCTCAAGCCCTTTTTGCAGCTATAATTCACCCATCAGATTTTTTTAAAAAGTACATATCATCATTGGGTGGCAAGTTTGTGAAGAAAAAGACACCCATATATTGTGAAAGTACAATATATAAAAAGACACTCATACATATTGGAAGTACAACTTCAACATAGGGCTTATTGACATCAAAATATTTGAATTTAAAACATAGATGTACTTGCACATGTGTAAAATGAGGAACGTTTGGGAATATTTGAAATAGCAGGACATTGGAAACAGCCTAAAATATCCATCAGTAGAAGGTTTCAGCCATTACCCGGAGTGTGCTAATTTATCTTGTGCTGACAGTGTCCAACCTCAAGTAGGAGTCGGCTTGATCATCACTTAATGTTTCTTTTTTGATATTTAATCTCTACTAGAATCCAATAGGGAGCTCTGGTAGCGTAGTACCTAAGGCATTTGACTGCTAACCAGAAGACTGGTGGTTCAAACCCATCAGCCACTCCTCAGAAGGAAGATTGGGCAATCTACTTCCGTAGTGATACTGCTTGGAAACCCAAGGAGGGGTTGCTAAGAGTCGGATCCAACTCAAAAGCAGTGAGGTTTTTTTTTGTTTTTTTTTTTGTCAGAACCCAGTAGCAAGTCAAGATTTTCATTACAAATGAGGAAAGCCATCAGAAGAGAGTACTGTTTTACATTAGACTCCTATGAGTCCAAAATATGATTCTCCTATTGGAACTTGACAGATTCCCCCTATCTCTTTCTGCTCTTAGCACTTCCCATATCACTGGGTCTGCTGGGTCTTAAGATCCAAATGGCAGAGCAACTTGAACCACAGCTTAGACCTGTTACAGAGCCTTTTCTTGCTCTGAGCCCCACTCAAAACTAGCAGTGTAAGGGTTACTTGGTAACATGGATTGGAGGAAGATGCTGAAATGTAGTAGCATATGTTGTTTTCAAAATCCAAATAGGACTGCCAAACTTTGTGCTTCTTTATGCCTGGTGGATAGCACAAGGTGCTGCAAATTGTCTCTCATTTTAAAAGCTACATTTCAACATGCCACTGGACCTCTGGAAACATCACTCATGTGTCATGTACCTGAATCTTCACAAGATTTATCTCCCACCCTCAGGAATGCACGTGTTCTACGATAATGTATAGGATGTTTGCTACTTCCTGCTCACTGGAACTAATTAACATAATGTCATCAATGTAATAGACCAGCATGATGTTCTGTGGGCCACCAAGATGAGCTACGCCCTTCTGACTATTTTATGCCAGAAAGCAGGAGGTTGACATAACCCTGAGGACAAATCATGAAAGAATACAGCTGTCACCGCCACATGAAGGCAGATTGCTTTTGAATTGAAAAGAAAGTATTTCCCAGATGCCAGGGGCTATATTGATTTGCTCCAGTAATGATACCACATCCAGACTGCAGCTACAATTGAATTCACTACGTGATTACATTTGCAACAATCCATAGTCATTCTCCAAGATCCACCAAGTTTTTGCATCTGGCAGAAGGACATATTAAATAAGATTGTAGTAGTAATAATCACCCCTGCATTTTTCAAGCTCTGTTGGTGGTAGTAATATCTAAAGTTCCCTCAAGAATGTATTACTATATGGTGGTCATGGGATAGCCTGTCTCCTTAATAGGTAGAATACGTAGGTCTGGGAATGAAGAGGTAGTTGTAGGATTTCCCTGAAAACCATACTCCCGATGAACTAGTTGGGTAATTTGTGTTTCCCATTCTGCAACTTTAGACCCTTACAATTTAGAGGCCCTATTCCTCTGTGTGTATGTTGTGCTAGGGAAAATGACCCCAGATTTTAAAATGTTCTATAGAGACTCTTTTATTAAGCCTTCAACAGGACAAAGACAAAATCAAAGATAAAAATGATCATCCAGATGAGGGAAACCGTCACTATGTACCCAGTGCAGAGGCCGATGGAATCCACTGAACGCAGTCATGGTGTTCATTATATGTGATAAAGAGCAAAGGAAATTATCACAAGATCATGATTGGTAGCAGGTCAATTCATCACTGTCTCAGGTGGGACTACAGAAGCAGGGAAAGGACCATACTTGGTATACATACATAATCAGGTTAAAAAATGCTATAGTTCATTGGAACTTAAATTCTAAAGCACATGGTTTGTGGCAGTGAGGTTTGTTTGTTTTTTTAAAGTGGTCTACAGTGGAAACCATGTTGAGTGTTGACGTAAGTTCAGAAGCCATTTGAATCCTTTATGTTACTTCTCCAATGCTCCTTGGCCTTTAAACCAGAGATATGGCTATGCTTAGATAAGTTGGGGCAAG